CGAGTTCATCCTCTATGCCCAACTTTTTGTGGAGAGGTACTGGGGACACTGTGGTCACCTCAACAGCTTTGGCCCTACCCTTGTGGGACTGACAGCCCAGCATGAAGACACATTTATCATCCACAGTGGTCATGGTTGGAGTAGGGAAGCTTGGGGGAGACCAAGAGGTGCCTGACCCTGTCTGGAAGTTAGGGAGTGCTTCCTGCAGGAGAGGGCATGTGTGCTGAGCTCTATCCCTCACCTGGACCACAGACCTCACCTTGCAGTTCACCATATCCCAGAGGTCCTCAAGAGGAAAATGGAGCCGGGCTCGGTGGCTCAGCCTGTAATCCGGCGCCTTTGGGAGGCTGAGGTGAGTGGATTGCCTGAGCCCGCGGGTTCGAGACCCGCCTGGCAACTTGGTGAGACCTCATCTCTACAATAAATCAAAAAATCAGCCGGGCGTGGTAGCGCGCCCCTGTAGTTCCAGCTACTTGGAAGGCTGAGGCGTAAGGGTCGCCAGAGTCCAGCAGGTCGATGCTGCAGTGGTCGGGAGCGGCCACTGCACTCCAATCTGGGCAATAGAGTGAGACTCCAACTCAAACAAAAAAAAAAAAGAGGAAAATGGAACCGATACATCCTCCCTATTTTCACATAGTCTCACCCAATGTATCTTGTTTTTTGAGTTGGAGTCTCACTGTCGCCCAGACTGGAGTGTAGTGGCCACTCCCGGCCACTGCAGCCTCAACCTGCTGGGCTCCGGTGATCCTTCTGCCTCAGCCTTCCGAGTAGCTGGAACTACAGGCGCACGCTACCATGCCCGGCTGATTTTTTGATTTATTGTAGAGATGAGATCTCGCCAAATTGCCCAGGCAGGTCTCGAACCCGCGGGATCAGGCAATCCACTCACCTCAGCCTCCCAAGGGGCGGGATTACAGGCTGAGCCACCGAGCCCGGCTGCAACTTCACTTTTTTTTTTGAGTTGGAGTCTCACTCGGTCATCCAGACTGGAGTGCAGTGGCCGTTCCCGGTCACCACAGCCTCACCTGCTGGGCTCTGGCGATCCTTCCGCCTCAGCCTTCCAAGTAGCTGGAATTATAGGCACACGCTACCACACCCGGCTAATTTTTTTGATTTATTGTAGCTATGAGGTCTCTCCTGCCCAGGCAGGTCTCGAACCCGTGGGCTCAGGCAGTCCACGCACCTCAGCCTCCCAAAGGCCCGGGATTACAGGCTGAGCCACCGAGCCTGGCTGCAACTTCACTTTTTGATGAAGGTGGAATCTTCCTGATCCCAGCTGGATCAACCTCAGCTGAGCAGAGGGTCCTTTGGCAGGTACCGCAGGTGTGGCCACCTCGTGGTGTCCCTCCTCCCTTCTTTCTCTCACCTTAGACAATGGCCATGGCCTGTGTGAGTAGAGGGCCTCTCTCCCCATCTGGCTCCATCTCCTCCCTTCCCCATGACAGGCCTATATCTCCTAGCCGTATGACAAAGTGACTGTCAGGACCTTGGGGACCTCATCCATGCCCCAGGGACGATAACACCATCCGTCTCCTAGGGCGGTGGGGAGAGTGGCCCAGGACCAGGCAGCAAGTTAGGCACGCGTTTGACCTGACACACAGGGAACTCTGTAGACAGTGGCTGAGAGGTCTTAAGAGTCTGTCCAGGCTGGGCTCGGTGGCTCAGCCTGTAATCCCAGCACTTTGGGAGGCCGAGGCGAGTGGATTGTCTGAGCCCGCGGGTTCGAGACCCATCCGGGCAACTTGGTGAGCCCTCGTCTCTACAATAAATTTTTAAAAATTAGCCGGGCATGGTAGCGCGCGCCTATAGTTCTGGCTACTTGGAAGGTTGGGGTGGAAGGATCGCCGGAGCCTAGCAGGTTGAGGCTGCGGTGGCCGGGAGCGTGCCACTGCACTCCAGTCTGGGTGACAGAGTGAGACTTCAACTCAAAAAAAAAAAAAAAGAAGAATCTGTCCGATCGAGGTTCAAATCCCAGCATTGGCCTCTAACATCCTGAGGCTACCTGCTGTGCTCAACCCTGAGCTGCTTCCTCCCTGAGAACAAAGCCAAGGTCACAGCCAGGAGATGCTTTGCGTTTAGAACACACTCAACAAGCGCCTTGCATAGGATGGGTGCCCGGTAAACAGAACAACCCCACCCTGCCCCACAGCCAGGGGAGGGTGGAGTTGGGATTGGAACCCACCGCCCCCTGTGAATTTGTTAAGAAGGGTACAGAGTGAATCCACAGGAACAGGGACAGGGTACATGACATCCACTAAGTGCTCAATACACGTAGCTGCTAGGGGCTACCCCTCCACCCCCATTTTACAAGAGTGGAAACTGAAGCTTACAAGTCAGATTCTCAGGGGCCCAAGAAAACTTTTGCAACTTAGGAAAAATGCAGCACCATATTCACAAGAGTCAAAAAGTGGAAACAGCCTGGCCTGGTGGCTCACTCCTGTAATCCCAACACTTTGGGAGGCTAAGGCAGGAGGATGACTTAAGCCTAGACTGGGCAATTTAACGAGACCTCATCTCTACAAAAAAAAAACAAATTAAAAAATGAACCATACTTTGTGACATAAGCCTGTAGTCCCAGCAACTTCGAAGGCTGAGACACAAGGATCACCTGAAACCAGGAGGTCGAGGCTGCAATGAGCCGTGATCACGCCACTGCACTCCAGCCTGGGTGCAGGGTGAGATTCTGACTCAAAAAAAAAAAAAGTGGAAACACCTTAATGTCCATATCAACAGATACACGGATAAATAAAATGAGGTATATCTATCCAGGCAGTGGAATATTATTTGGCCATAAAAAGGAATGAGACAGACACAGGCTATAATGTGAATGAACCTTGAAAATGTCATGCTAAGTGGAAGAAGTTCATCACTGACGACCCCATATTATATGATCCAGTTTGCATGAGGCATCCAGGATAGGCCAATCCATAGAGACAAAAATATAGATTAGTCGTTGCCAGGGCCTGGGATTGGACGGGGGAATGGAAGGATTGGGGAGGCCACGGCTAAGGAGTGTGGGAGTTCTTTATGGGGTAATGAAAGTGTTCTACAAGCCGGGCTCAGTGGCTCAGCCTGTAATCCCACACCTTTGGGAGGCTGAGGTGAGTGGATTGCCTGAACCTGCGGGTTTGAGACCCGCCTGGGCAGCGAGACCTCATCTCTACAGTAAATCAAAAAATCAGCCGGGCGTGGTAGCCCATGCCTGTAATTCCGGCTACTCGGAAGGCTGAGGCGGAAGGAATGCTGGAGCCCAGAAGGCGAGGCTGCGGTGGCCAGGAGCAGCCACTGCACTCCAGTCTGGGCGACCGAGTGAAACTCCAACTCAAAAAAAAAAAAAAAGAAAGAAAGTGTTCTATACAAGTGACAGTCGTACAACTTTGAATAGAAGAAGAGCTATTCAATTGCGCACTTTAAATAGATGCATTGTCTATTATGCAAATTATAGGTCAATAAATCTGTTTTTACATGGGGGACCAAAATCTGAAAAGAACTGAGGTTAATACATATTTAATGCAATAGCCCATGGGCCAGGCACAGTGGCTGGCACCTCTAATCCCAGTATTTTGGGAGGCTAAGACAGGAGGATCACTTGAGCCCAGGAGTTCAAGACCAGCCTGGGCAACACAGTGAGACCTCATCTCTACAAAAAATTTAAAAATCAGCTGAGGATTGTGGCGTGTGCTTGGAGTCCCAGCTACTCTGGAGGCTGAGGCAGAAGGATCGCTTAAGCCCAGGAGTTTGAGGCTGCAGTGAACTATGATCGCATCACTGCACTTCAGCCTGGGCGACAGAGGGAGACAGTCTCTAAAAAACCAATAAATATATAAATGCCTATAAACTGCAACACGTTGTTAACTCCTTCTTTGCTCTTTTGCATCTCGACGACATTCACAATGACAGTTTTGGAGGGTGAAGTGAGAAAGGTACATCCTCTGGACATCTTACCCCAACCTGGGCAAAGAGAGGTTAGGCAATTCCCAGGGAGAGGCAGGAACTCTGGCCCAGAGAGGGGCAGTTTCCTGCCCAGGGTCACACAGCCCTGGGCACCGAGAGTCCCGAATCTCTGCCACCCTCAGTTCCAACATGCGTGCGTGAGGTTCCAACCCCAGCCCCAGGGCTGACCCCTGGCTGCCTCCTCTTTCTGACTTCTCAGGAAAAAAAAAAAAAACACACAACAACAACAAAAACCCACACACCAGGAAGCATCCATCATGCGCTGTCCAGCCCAGGCCGGAGGGGCAGGGGTCAGCAGGGCAGTGACCTCAAGGTCTCCATGGGGACCAGGATCTGGTGGGGCTGGGGGTGACAGGCCTGGGAATTTTCCCACCCTTAGATTTCCCTGCATTGACCCCAGAGGGCATCAGCCCAGGATGCCGCCGGCCCTTCCCCAACCTCCTTCCTCTCTTGACGCGGCTTCCCGCCTGAGGATGGATGGGGAGGACGTGCCAAGACAGGATCGTCGGACCCAGAAAAGGATGGGCACTCTGAGATGGAGAACGAGGGCTGCTGGCTCAGAGTGGCCAAGGCCTGCCTCAGAGCCACACAGCCCGGAGCCTTGGTGCAAATGCGCCGGCCGCAGCTCCTGGCCGGTGCAGCCTCCTCGACCTCCAGTGCCCTGTCCTGCCCAAGAGCTGGAGCCCAGCCCGGCTTTGGGCGTGTGAGAAGCCCTTGGCCCTGGGCCCTGCCCCCGGTCCTTCCCCCCCCCACACACACTTGGGACTCAGCCCTTCCTTGTGTTAAATAGAAACCTCTTTATTCTAAGTATCGAACATTCCTTAATACATTGGACTTGGGCCAGACCTTGAGGTGAGGGAAAAGGGGGAGGCACTGGGATATTTCTGTAGAGCCTTCCAGAACGCCACCCGCCATGCTGCGCTATGGTGGTGGGGGGGGGAAGCCGGGCTGTGCAGCCTTGGGAACGTCCTTGCTCCTCAGGCCTCGGTTTCCCTTCTGTACGGGTCGTTTGGGTTGGGTGAGAAGATCTCTGAGGGTCTTTCCACCCCGGGGGTCTGCGGTCCCAGGCGGGGAGTCAGGAGGGTGGCCATCTGGGAGGACGGCTTGTCAGCAGCAGAGATGGGGGACACTGAGGCGGGGAGGCGGGGAAAGCCTCAGCGCTGGGCCTGGGGCCGGGGCCGGGGCAGGCAGGCCACACTGGGCCTGGCCAGCCGGGAGACGGGGAGGCGGCCCAGGAGGAGAGGGAGGCCGAGGCAGAAAGAAGGGCGGGGCACGGGGATGTCTGCAAAGAAGGCACGGTCCCGAGGGGGTGACGGGGCTGCCCCCTCAGACAACTCCAGGTCCCGGGCCACGGCCAGGATCTCCTGGCGGGCGGCCGTGTTTCGCAGGCCTCGGACGTCAAGGAGGGCCGCCACGTGCTTCCGCCTGGGGGGGAGGGAGAGAGGTGAGTGGGGGTTCCCGGACCAAGGCATGTCCGCACACCATGCACCATCCTGACCCCCACCTTCCCCAGAACCCGCCTTAGCTCTGGAGGCTTGTGACCCTTCCAGATCCTCCCTTCCAATCCACTCCCCCATCCAGGCCTCACCTCCCAGCTCTCTCCAGATGGTTGCCTTCAGTTCCAGAACCCCTACCTCCAAACCCAGCCTGGGAATTTTCTTTTTCACCCCATGCCTGGCTCCTGATAAAAATTAACTTTCAATCTTCATCCTCTAGTCGCTTAGATGTCTCCTAAATTTAATTTCCTTCTCTCTTTTTTTTTTTTTGTCAGAGTCTTACTGTCACCCAGTGCAGTGACAGGCTCATGGCCACCGCGGCCTTCACCCGCTGGGCTCAGGAGATCCTCCTGCCTCAGCCTTCCAAGTAACAGGAACCACAGGTGTGCGCCACCATACCCGGCTAATTTTTTGATTTCTTGTAGAGACGAGGTCTCGCCAAGTTGCCCAGGCTGGTCTCGAAACCCTGGGCTCAGGCAATCCTCTCATCTCCGTCTCTCAAAGTGCGGGGATTACAAGTGTGAGCCACCGGGCCCAGCATCTCCTACATTTCCAACCTGGTGCCTTCACGCCTGTTGAAGCCCTGGGCCTGACAGTGATCCCTTCACTTCATCTTCCTTTTCTTCCCAAACAGCCCTACAATCATCACTGAGATCTAGTCCAGAAGTGTTTGCCCATACTCCCATCTTAACTCTCACCTCCCGCAAGGCCCAGTCTGGAAGCTTCCCCACCACCAAAATCCCAGAGCCTTCATCTAGAATTCAAGACTTCTCAGCCTAGATCCCATTCTAGAATTTCCCTCCCCAAATTGGGCCCTGGAACGCTCACTTCACCCCATCCCATTCCCAGAATCATGCCCCCCCCGAATCCCTCCCCAAGATGAAAATTCCCCTAGGGAGACCCTCACTCCAACCAGAAGCTGTCACAACTCAAACCAGCTCTACTCAGCAACCCTCACCCCTAAATCCAACACACTAGGACCCTCCTCTTCACTGCCATGTCAGCTCCAGATCCCTGACCCAAAACTCCACTCCTGAAGCACCACCACGTTGCAACTCGAGATTTTGAACTCAATGTTCATTTCAAGAACATTCATTTCAAACAGAGCTCTGGGGCCTTCACCTCCTCACGACCACCCTCCTCCCAGCTCAGTGTCTTCATCGTCCCATGGGTTTGGAATCCTCACGGCTCAAAATACTCGTCCCACATTGGCTCAAGGAACTTCCAGCTCAGCCTAGCTCCAAAACACAGTTCCCAAACCCAGCCCAAGCAGAGAACTCTTCAGGCTTTAGTGCAGATTCAAGTTCTGTTTTTGTTTTGTGCTTGGCTTCGAGTCTCACTCTGTCACCCAGACTGGAGTGCAGTGGCATGCTCACGGCCACTGCAGCCTTGACCTGCTGGGCTCAGGCGATCCTTCCGCCTCAGCACTCCAAGCAGTGGAACCACAGGCGTGCGTCACCACACCCAGCCAAGTTTTTGATTTATTGTGGAGACGAGGTCTTGTTAAGTTGTCAGGCTGGTCTCGAACCCCTGGGTTCAGGCACTCCTCTCTCCTCAGCCTCCCGAAGTGCTGGAGTGACAGGCGTGAGCCACTGCACCTGGCAGGATTCAAGTTCTGATCTGCAATCCAAGATTCCAGTTCAGGAACTCCAATCAGCAGGAACACCAGAACCCCTTGGGACCCCACGAGACTCCAGGGCTCTGTGCCTTCCCAAAGACAGGACCCTATTCCCCTGAATCAGTTCCAGAACCCGCACCTCAACCTTGAAACCAAAACCCTCTCACACCTCACTCCTATTTCCAGAGAGTTTTGTATCTCCAGGTGTAGACTGTGTCTGCCCGGATAGCACTGCAGGACAGTGGTGCCTCCAACACCACCATGACCACCGCCGCCACGACCACCACCATCCAGCACTCACAGATGGCAGTGTGGTGTGGGGACTTCTGGTGCACTTCAGAGCCAGTGTACTGCTGGGTTCAAGTCCCAGCCTTGCCACCTGCTGGCTGTGATATTTGGGAGAAGCAGCTTAATGTCTGCCCGTCTCAGATGAGTAACTTACAGTTAGTATTTCCTAAAAAAACTTCAATTATACCTCTTACTTATAGAGTGAGCACATAAGGTGTTTAGGTCAAAATAAGGAGTCAGGTCGGGTGCGGTGGCTCACACCTGTAATCCCAGCACTTTGGGAGGCCAAGGCAGGAGGATCATTTGAGTCCAGAAGCTCAAGCCAGTCTAGGCAATACAAGGAGACCTGGTCTCTACAAAAAATAAAAAAAACCAGCCAGGTGTGGTGGCGCGCTCCCGTAGCCCAACTACATAGGAGGCTGAGGCAGGAGGATCACCTGAGCCCAGGAGGTTGGGGCTGCAGTGAGCCATGATCATGCCACTTCACCCCAGCCTGGGCGACAGAGTGAGACCCTAACTGGGAGAAGAAAAAAAAGGACTCAGTAGACAGGAACTGGTATTACTACCAGCTGCTGATGACCACCAGGATGATGGTAATAAATCCGCCAGTAATCCCACGACGAGAGCCTTATCAACCGGATGGGACGGATGGGGAAACCGAGGCTGGAGAAGGTCACACAGGGAGGAAGCGGCCCAGCAGGACCCGAAAGGCGCCTGCGCGAGGCCTTCCCAGTGCGTGTGCGCCCATGCCCGTGCGTGTCCCCGTGTCCCCCGCGGCTCCCCTGCCGGGCCGGCCCTTCCTGCCGCCGGGCGGCCCGCGCGCCCCCCCTGCCCGGGGCTTCCTGTGGCCGCCTGTTTGTTTGCGAGCCCTGGCGGCGGCGGCGGCGGCGGCGGCGGCAGGAGAAGGAGGGAAATCGTATTAATAATGCCCTGGTCCCAGCAGGAAACGGCCGTCAGACACGCTCGCCGCCTCCCGCCCTCGCCCGGAAATGCGCGCACGGATGCCAAGGCCACCGGGAGACCTCGCCGGCGGGCGGGCGGGCGCGGGGGGGGCGGGGGGCAAGGGCGCTCTCTCACCTGATGTCTGGGTAGTCGCGCACCAGCACCCCCACCTCCACCTGGATGCTGGGCGTGTCTTCCAGCTGCAGGACTTCGGCCAGGTGGGGCACCACGGCGTCCAGCCACGAGGCCTGGGACTCCTGCAGGGGCGGCCGGGGCGCACGTGCTCGCTCCAGCGCCACCTCCCTCGCCCGCCCCCTCCCGAGACCCACCTCCGCCTGCCCCTGCTCCTCCTGGCTTCAGATTACCCATCTGGGAACCGTGGCCGAGGACACAGACTGTGGCCAGATTTGAAGAAATATCCATAATATTATTTACTCCCAGTTTTGCAGATAGTTTGGGACTCGGGGACACCCCTCAAAACCTCTTCCGGGCCGAGCATGGTGGTCACACCTGTCATCCCAGAGCTTTGGGAGGCCAAGGCGGGAGGGTTGCTTTAGACCAGGAGTTTGAGGTCAGCCTGGGCAACATAGTGAGACCCCCGTCTCTACAAAAACATTTTAAAATTAGCTGGCCATGGTGGTGTGCGCCTGTTGTCCCAGCTACTCCGGAGGATCACTTGAGCCCAGAAGTTTAAGGCCATGTGAGCTGTGATCGTGCCACCACACTCCAGCCTGGGTGACAGAGTGTGGCTCTGACTCAAAACCAAATCAAACCAAACATCTTTCAAGACTGCAAAAAGGTTACCCTTGCTGGGGAAATTGGATAAAGAGTACAAGGAAACTCTCTGCATTCCTTCTGACATCTGCATGTGAATCTACAATTATCTCAAAAACTTTTCCAAAGAAAACATTCCAAGGACTCCAGGCTAGAAACTCCTGGAATTAAGATTGAATGAGGCCCTTCCAGCCCTGCTGAATTCTACTGGGTACAAACAAGACTGAGTGATTTTCAATCCCTGGACTTGGAGATGTTCAGATTCTGATGCATTTGGGTTTTTTGTTTTTTTGAGTCAGGGTCTCTGTCGTCCAGGCTGGAGTGCACGATCATAGCTTGCGGCAGCCTCGAACTCCTGGGCTCAGGCGATGCTGCTTCTGCCCCAGCCTCCCAAGTAGCTGGGACTACAGGCGCACGCCACCACGCCGGCTAATTTTTTTTTTTTTTTTTG